GGAATCAGCAGGTGCGTCAGTGCGAGGTAGCGGTATCAGCTGAAAATTTCAGAAGTGAACGACAAACCCAACGTGGGCGGCAACCAGAGGGAGAAGGAAAAGGAGGAGGGGAATAAACAGCTTGAGTTTACTGGTGAAGTATTTTAGGGAGTATTATATATTGCCGAGTGTGTTTGTGTGTGGGTAGGAGGCGCACTTAGGGACTCGCTCTGCCGTGCGCCAAGTGATTATTATGGCCAGCGCTACCACAGCAGCACTTTTTTTTGTTGTGGTTGTGTTGTGGTTGCGAGTAAAATTGCGTGGGGAATGATGGCGCCTTGTGGGTGTACGCCGGCAGTATTCCATTGGTGATATCCCCTTGCTGTTCCCAGTTTGTTGCTGCAGAGAGTTTGGGCGAGAGGGTAAGTTTTGCATGCTGAGTGGGCTCACAGGCGGGAAAGCAAATGCGGCGGCCACCACAGCCCAGAGGTCAGGGGCAAACCGAATTATTGTGATTGCTTTTGCGCCTTGGCGTGGTGTTTTTCTCTTTTGTTTTTTTGGGTGCCATCGTTTTTTTTGGTTCGTCTGTGCTCCAATGGGGGGTGCCGCATGCACCTCTGAGAGCCTCGAGCAAACGCCGTTGGCGCCTCTCTTTTGTTGGGTTGCCGTCCTGGGCGCATGTGCCCGTTCCGTTTTGTTCGGGCAGCACGCACTGACCGGGCAGTCTGAGGCTACGGCTGCGCTGGCGTCGCCCTCGCTTGTGAGCGGAACGAAGCAGCAGGAAAGGGGGCTGCCGCTATTATTCTGCAGGGTTTATTTTTAATGGTTTTTATTGTTTTTATTTTTTAATGTTGCACCCCATCCCTGCTGCAGTGTGCTGAGGGAAGTGGGCGGCGTTGGGGAGTTTGTGGGGGCCGTGATGGGAGGTCTCGCCGGCATGCGCACTGCGTGGTGATGCTGGCAGGGTTTGAAGGCGCTGAGTGGGGGAGACGGTAAGCGAGGTGTGTATGAATTTGTTTAGTTGTTTGATTTCTGCGGGGCGTCCCACACTGCGGGCTCTCCATGCGGGTGCGTGTGGATGTTTCTTTGGGCTGCGCACAACAGTCGCTGCTACCGCTGCCTTTTTTGCGGCTGGCGTTTCTTGTGGGGGGCGGCGAGTGTGAGATCGTGCGGTCCACGCGTTTATCGGTGTGGCCTTCATTATGGATTGTCGCTGTTCTTTGCGGTGTGCCCAACCGTGGGTGCGGGCGGTGCCTTTTTTTTTGTTGGAATTTGCTTTTATTTTGGTGTGTTTGCTTCTTCCTCATAACTTTCTGTGCCCAACACACGAGGAAGGAAAAGAGAGACCAAACGCTACTTGTTGTTGTGCACATTGAAACGCTCTGCAGTCACCACCATCACACACACACACACACAGAGACAATCGTCGAGGCCTGAGCTGATCCACCACAAGGAGGGAAGGAAAAGAATGAGTGAGCAGTGGCACATGCTCAATATGTGCCGCCATCTGTTTTCTTTTTCGGTGCTGCACCTCTGCCTCTTGCTGATATGCTTTGGCAGTACGGCTGTGCACGCCGAGAGGAATAAACCAAACGAAATGCAAATACCAGACCCTGTTGATCTTTTGGTGCCGCATCGAACGATTGTGGAAGCACAAGGCCAAAGTCAAACGAGGGAATCTTTTGCCTTCCCTTCCCTTGCCAGTGCTGGTGGAGTGTTGGTTGTGCTTGCCGAGAGTCACATCGCCTGTGAAGCCCCGCATGATGAAGATCCTTGGGTCATTTGTGCCGATATTGTGGCGGGGTACATTGACTCTGCGGAGAACTGGTCGTCTTTTGTCGATGAGGTCCGACTAAACAAATGGAAGGCGTACAGCGTCATTAACACGGCCACGCGTCAGTGGTATATACCTCATATGAGATACGAGGTCCGACCCACAACAATTGCAAAGGGCAGCAGTGTTTTTTTACTTGTGGGGGGCCATCATCAGAAGTATAGTCCTTCACGGAAGAGGTGGATTAAATACTCAAAGGGTCTTGTTTTGCTTGTATGTGAGGCCACGCAAGATAAAGTCATCCAATGGGGCAAACCCACCTCGCTTGTACCACAGATCAAACCATTTGCTAAACAACGTGGCCTAAAGAAATTTCTTGGTGGCGGTGGCTCAGGCGTTGTGATGGAGGATGGCACGTTCGTGTTTCCTGTGACGGCGAGAAGGACAGGAGACAACGAAGCTGTGTCCATGATCATTTATTCGAAGGACGACGGCAAAAATTGGGTGCTTTCACA